GGGTTGCTGTATTGTATGGAAGATCTATCTGTAGTTGTTTGAGAAGCCTCCATACTGTTTTCCATTGTGGTTGTACTAATTTACAGTCCCACCAACAGTGCAGGAGCGTTCCCTTCTCTCCACACCCTTGCCAGCCTTTGTTATTCACCATCTTTTTGATTATAGCCCTTTTAACGGGGGTGAGGTGGTATCTCAATGTAGTTTTAATTTGCATTTCCCTGATCACTAGTGATGTTGAGCATATTTTAACTAAAAAGCTTCTGCTCAGCAAAGGAAACAATGAACAGAGTGAAATGACAGCCTACAGAGTAAGAGAAAATTTTTGCTAACTATGCATCTGAAAAAGGATTAATACCCATAATATACAAGGAAGTCAAGTAATTACACAGTAATAAAACAAATAACCCAACTAATTTTGTTATTTAGGAATACCCTATGCTCATTTTATGCCCTCTGGATTATTTTACACTTAGATAGGTAAATTATAGTTCCCTGTTACTTGGTTGTCCTTGTCTCTTTTTCCTGTGGTGTTTGGCCTTTGAATATTGGTGCTCTGTTACTTTGTGCATTGCTATAAATAATTGTGCTCTGGGCCTTATTTAATGGTTTGTGGGATGTAATTCTACCTTGTTTGATATTTACGATATTAGAATGGTGAAGTCTGCTTTTTTTGGTTATGGCATGCACCAACTTATTCATCTTCTCTGACTTATTTTCCCTTATCCTTCCATTAGCTCGTCATATCATTTCTACATTTCAGAGAGTATAATGTTTCAATCTGTCTTGTCACCTTAATTTCCATTTTTGTTTTAGTCTTACTTTTACTGGAAAGTGTATTGGTTGCCTACCATCAGCCCTTTCACTGTAATATACTGGTCATCATTTGTAGGCAGAAGTGTGACTTCTAGTTATTTCCTTAACAAAATCTCATACAATAATGCAAACTGAGTACTTACATAGTTAAAACTCTTTATAGCATTTGTATTTGAAAGATATCTTGGCTAGGTATGAAATCCTTGCTTCACTCTATCCCTAAATATCTTGTAAAGGAATAGTTCTGTTATCTTTCATCTTGAATATTATTATGGAGAAAGCTGAGGCCATCTTTATTTTTCCATCTTTAATATTACTTGATAATTTTGGCAAACTGCCAGTAACTTGAAAACTCAATAAATTTACTAGGATATATTTTATTGTTGACAATTTTTCATGACAGAAGATGAATCATTTAAATGTGTAGATTTCTGCTTTCTTTTATGGAAACTCTTGAGGTGTTCTAGCTTTACAGATTTACTATCTTCCAGTGCTTGCTTCGGCAGTGTGTATACTAAAATTGGAAAGATACAGACAATATTAGCATGACCCATGTGCAAAGATGACACACAGATTTACTATCTTCCAATATTTTGTTTTTCTTCTTCAGGGACTCCAATTGTGTGAATTTCTATTACCTGTGTTTCTAATCAATAAAATTTTCCTAATTCTTTTAAACTCTTTCTTTATTTCTATTTTCTTTGCATTTCTCATATTTGTTTTCTATATCCCTTACTATGTTTTGTGCAGTATCAGTTTACCCTTGTGTTTCTTCCAATTTTTTGTCATTTGTCTAATGGTTATTTTTTTCTGTTTCTTTCTTAGTTCTTCCAGTTCACATTTCATATTCTTGTTGCTATCTTGCCATCTCATCACTGAGTTCTAATAATTTTGCTGTGCGATGTTTCTTATAGAGGGGATTGCCTTATTAAGTATTTTTAAAGTGATAACAAAAAATATGTTCACTATTTTCATCTGCTCCATGTCACCATTTTATTTGGCATGGTTCTTCATTTGTTCATAACTATTCAATTCTCAACCTTCTTTTAATTGTTGTACAGGTGGTGTGCTAGATTTTTGTTCCTGCAGTTGTTACTCATCTGGAATAAATTGGGTATTCTGGACTAGGTATCTGTCAGAGGGTCCTGTGGGTGGTAAAGACCACGTTGCATTAATGGCCACATAAAGTCTGTCTTTTCCATTACCACAAAGATGGAGTACTTCCTGCAGCGTGTGGATTCTTCACTCTGTTTCCCTGGAAATAGGGTTTGGGCGTAGAGATGGCTTCTCATACTACGCAACCCACGTGCAACTTAACACCCACTTCACGTGTGCTGTTGCATATATTTGCCCCTCTGAGTGTGCTGCCAGCCTCTAAGAAGTATACTTTGATGGTACAATCTGAGATCTGCAGAGGGTGGGGTTTTGCTACTGAGATCCCTCTTATTTACATTTTTGTGTGACTCTCACAAGAACTTGATTATTTTTAGCAGCCTGTTCAAATACTTGGGAGTCTTTTCCAAACATTTATCAAAGTTGAAATGTCTGATTTTCTCCTTCTCCTATTGATTTTGAACTAGTTTCTAGGAGCAAATAAAGGACGGGCTAAGTTACATGGCCATGTTTTGTAATCTTTTATCTCCAATTTCTTAGTCTACTCAATTTCCACCAAGTGGCTTCAGTCAGACACTACGTACAGAGTGTCTGGACATTCTCTTGGGTCTGAGGTACTTGCTTCAAGAACTCCAGAGTTGTGTCAATCCAGTTCCAAGCCTCTCTTGACTTTCTCCTTTAGAAAGATTCAAGGGGCCTGTAGGACACACACACAGAACAGAAACATGACCCAACGTGACTTCTGAAGCAATAGCTTAGAGTAGAGCCTTAGTATTTGTGCATGATACTTACTGACTCTTTTGTAAGATTCAGGTTTCTTCAAGAATAAAGTTCTGTAGCAATCAATTCCACGCCATTAAGTACAAAAGGGAAGTTCATGGACAAATACACAAACTTTTCTAATCCCCCAAATAAACCCAGTATCAGTTGTTTTTAATTTTATAGGTGTTCTAAGCTTTGTCTCTGTAGTGAATTGTTACTCTGGGAGAATAGATGGCATTTATTGGATGTACAGTGGATATAGTTTATGGCATTTCCTGTTCATAGACTTCTATCTGCTCTGAAAATTACAAAACTGAAAATCTAAAACACTGTGCCCTCTGCAGTCACTGTGTAGTGTACAACTTAACCATATTTGACTTTAAATTTGATTAACCAAGTAGATAGCTCGCAGGTTGTGTTAAGCAGAAAAGTGAATAAAAACGAAGAGATTAATTCTCTTTTCTTTTTCACTCATTCATGTACTCGTTCACAAATATCTGGCTTCCACTGTGTGGCAGGCCTTTGCCAAGCAAAGGACGTGCAGTGGGGAGGCTGTCTCCAAAAATCTCGGCATTCTGAATGAGAGGCAGGCTCACAGTCCTGAGCACATGCCATGTGTGGTCATTTCTAGAAGGAGGAGTCTTAGCAGGGTTCTGAGAGGCGACTGCAACAGGGACTAACCCTGACATCCCCCTGTCTGCAGGGCCAACATCATTGTCGGGTGCCCCTGTGTATAGACTCTGTCTAGACTGTGGTGAGTCTGCTGTGGCCTCCTAGCTCATCTCTCCATAGGCTTCCGCACTCACATTCTATCGTCTACACTACCTTCAGTGGTCTTTTTAACAAACTGTACACCTGATTATGTCACCTCTCTGTTTCCCTCTCCCCCTTAAAAATCCCTTCATGGTGTCCCCTTGCTCATTAATTAAAATTCAAAACTTACCCTGACAGACAAAATTCTTGTGTGATTTAGCCCTAGCTAAGGCTCCGACCCATCCCCTGCTGATCCATGAAGGCCTTTGCTGCTCCTGACCCGTGTCCTGCAGGCTCCGATGCCAGCCCCTGCACTTTCTGCTGCTTTGCCTAGAGCAGTCTTCCTTCAGACACCTGCATGACCCAAATCCTTACTTCATCACTTCTCTGCCCAGATATCCCTTCCATAGTCACCTCACCTAACCACCCTGTCTGAAATAGTATCCCTTCTCCCT